AAAAATGCACATATATGCTTTTAATTCTGCTAATGAAGCTATCGTAATGTCACATGTAATGTCACATTACATATCGTAATGACCATGCCTAATTAGCATTACAGATTTGGTTGAGGAGATAAATGGCCAGATCCTTCAGGGTGCAGGTCAGTCTAGCTCCAGGCATTCATCCTCATAAGATTTATGAGAGGGATGGGGATACAGACTGCTGAAATGGAAGCTTGAAAAATATTGCATTAATGAAATACAAATCATGTTAGGCTGTTAAAATGAACCTACTATTTCAGGTGTCTAGGCAATGAAACTGTAAAGCTGCTCTGGATGGGATACAAAAAGCAAGTCATTTTAGTCTCTTCTGATGTACAGAACTGAAACACATCAGACCATATAAAGCTTAATATTCCATGAATGGCTTGGTCCAATGCCCACTGAAAGTCAGTGGAAAGACTTGATATCTGATCCAAAGGCGATTAGCCAGAAATTATGGTTTCTAGGCCTGTTCTTCACCCAGTAAACACTGAAGTCAGTTGATCATGGATGGTTTATAAAACAGGAGCTGATGACGTGCGATAAAAAATTAAACTCTCATAGACACACAAGACTTTCTTCTTAGTGACACTATGTAAATGAAAACACATTATTAAAATTAGATTACAAGTAACATTATTCATATTACATTTAATTGTTTAATTTGAATTTGAATGATGCAAGTCATACCATCTCTGATGACAGCTTAAAGTCAAATTTAAACAAAGTAATCGAATTTCCGTATGAGTTGACACTTTAATTGAAATACTCAAACTTTGCTAACTTCCAAAGGAGCTCACCTAAAACCTTTAATATGGATGAATTGGCACAGTTCAATACACTGATAGTATCTTGTAAACCTTCTGTTCCGTGATAAGTACAAAGTTATACTCATCTGAACTACCATTTGTTGTCAAAAGCCAATGCTATAAAATTATGCTGTCTTAGTGGTTGCTACTGAATGGCGGAATAAATGATTTTCAGAAGTTCCTCATTAAAAGCAGTAATTGTTTATTCTAAAGAAAGAGAAATCAATAAAAATATGTAAAAACATTAAGAACACTGTAGTATCAAAGGCTGTATACTCACATGTGATTCTGTGTAATTTTTTTCAGATCCTATGTGTTCAACTGCATCCTACAAATGACATAAATTTTCAAAATAAAATTAAGAAGGTATTAAATCCAAATATCTCCAAACATCTACACATCTTTTCCTCAAAGGATCTTTTTTGCATATAAAAGCAGTGAAGTCAAACAGCCACTCTCAAGATGAGGCCAGAGAGACTTCTCAGTTGAGATGTAAACCGACATGGCCCATCAATCATCCCCTTCCCTGAGCTTCAGTACAAAACATTAATTGCTGTTCCTCCCCAGCAGGGAGTGTTTGCATGGTGGACTGAGAATTAGCTGAAAGTTGTGCAGAAAACAAATGCCTAGTGGCTGAATTTTATGGATATTATTGTATCAGAAAAATTCTGGAGACAGATTTGGAGTCCAAATACACTTAATAAAGAAGAGAGACTGATAGTTTTTCAGGGCTGAATGTTTACCTTTCAAGCACATTAACAGGGAATTAAGCAGCTAATAAATCACAACGGTGGTAAGTGCTCACGTAGATGCTCCTGTGGGCTTTTGAAAGTGACAACTGAAGCATAGAGGATTTCACACCACAAAGCACTTCTAAAGCAGGCTCAGTCTAAGCCAGGTTATTCCAAATCCATCTCTATTCAATGAGGAGCAGTATCTCAACACAAGAAAAGTCTTTTGGACCACACTGATGCTTTCAGGTATGTTGCGTGTAAGACAGGAGCTAATGCTCCTGAGGACTAGCCTGTAGCTGCAGTGCTGTAGGAGAGTCCAATCCTGCATCTAAGAATTATCACGTCAGATGGAAACTGCTTTCACTTGTACTGATGAGTAAAGTTATGTCCAGTTTTCTGGCCCTGAGGCCAAGTTTCACTTTCTCTGGTCTATGTGTTCTTGGTGCTGTTTGCTCTGGGGCCAGTGTAATGCCCAGGGACCCTAAGGTGTAATATTTACCTTTTGTGTATCTTTATCAGTTCAGAGTGTTTTAGTACAGAGAGAACTGCGCAGGAGACAAGTAGTCTTGCATATGTAAACTGTGCATATGCACTGGGTTTAGCATGAGGACATAGAGGATTTCAAAGATCTAAACCTGGGAGGTAAAATAGCCAGTTTTCATGCAGTCTTATTCATACTGCCTACTGGGAGTGAGCCCTTAAATTTGCTAGGGCTCAAACTGCTAGCACACAGTATGCTCAAGCTGATTGGCATGTACCAAAAGCAGACAGATACTTAAGTTTGTTTCCAGGGGCTGCCTTATTCAACAGTACAGCTGTTACTGCTAACTGCTGTCACTCATCAGTACATGGTTGTTTTTCTATATCCCATAGATTTTTTTTTATACCTGCACATATACCGTAATAACTATAGAAATACGCTTGGGATGTTATGCTTCTGAATATGAAGACCATTGCTCTTCCTCATACAGATATGGTCAGGTTGTGTGCTATCATTTATATATATAAAATATTCTATGCATACTAAATAATTTCTTTTCTAACTTTCAAATTAACTAAGCCAATAGGCATGCAAAGCCTTGCTGGTTGGAAGCAGACCATTGTGTGGAAAGTGTCCATAATTTTACTTGATCTTGGACAGAGAGGACACCTTTCTGCTCCCATTTACTTGCAGTGAGACAAACTAGAGTTGATTTACCTGTTCATCCCATAACCTCAGAATAAACCTTTTGTGATTCAGTTTACAGAGTAATTTATTCAAATCAGCTTCCCAAACCAAGGTACTATGAATGTCACTTTATTTTTTTTTTTTAACTAATAATACCTTTTAATTAGCAGGCAATGTTTTTCAGCATAGAACTCACAGAGCCTTCACAGGGTAGCTTCTTGTGTGTTCAGTAACTTCTCCTTTATCAAAGAGTCAGTCCTTTTGTATCTTATTGGCAGTACATGATGTGCATTGATTGTAGACAGATCTATTTAATTAGTTTATTCATGTATCTGTGTAAAACAAGGCCACAGGTACCACACCCAAAATAATAAATAGAGCTGAGAGCATCTTCAGTTACAGTATTGTCTTTATCAAACTCCGAATTTAAATTATCTGCTCTGCAAAACAGACGATGAGTTCATGTAAGTACAAATTAACGCAATGAAAACTTGCTGCTTACAAATGGTGTTTAGCTTTTTTCTAATTTTTTTATATTTTTTTCTAATTTTTCTGATTTTTTTCTAATTCCACTTATCCATATATATTGGAGACCCCAGGGTTTTATTTTAGTAAAACTAGTATAAATGGAGCGATTACCATATTATTCCAAATTCAGAGTGACATTTCTAAGATTCATACAAAGTGGAGCCTATAATGAACGGTAAAATACTAGTAAAAAATTTATAGTAAAAACGACAGTGTTTTATACCAATTTTAAGCACAGTAAAGTTTTGATCACTCATATATAAAACATGTTAACTACTGAAAATTTAAAAAAAAATGAAGAACCTTAATTGTTTAATAATTTAATTGATAGATTAAAAAACAGGTGTCTGTGTAGGATAAGATATAATTTGAGGGAGCATGAATACAGACAAATGTTGACAGAAAGTCACAACAAAGATCTCAGAAACCAAATGATGTGCTGAAACAGGGCTCATAATTCACAATTTTTGAATAGTCTCATGCCTGGAATCAAATGCCAGTATAAAGTAAAATAACTTTCAGCAAAACTGCACTAAAGACTGTCGAGTTCTCAGCTGAAACCAAGAGCTGGAACAGTATATAAGGTGCTAGTTGAAGACATGTTAGAAACATTTTAGTAGAACAGAGAATTATTTGTAGCAAAATGCCAGAAATTGCTTAGATTCTTTAATTTTTTGCTTCCTTGGTAAATCTGTAGACTTTAACTTTATATATGGGACCAGAGAAGAGGGAGGAATAAGAGTAAGGGATAATAATAAGAAGAAGAAAGTAAGAAGAATAAGAGTAAGGGATAATAATAAAGAAGAAGAAGAAAGGAAGACATATTTGCCTTAATAGAACAGATAAATTATACTTGTATCTTTCTTCCTTTTCTGGAAGAGAAAAATACAAGGACAGTGGTGTTGGGAAACATAATGGGTTAAGTTTTGTTACGTCATTGATGACATGGAAATGCTAGGGAATGTTTATTTATCGAATATTTGCCAACTCAGAAATCACAGTCTGCGTATCTTAGCCTCTTGTGCATTCAGTAACTTGTCATTTATCAAAAAATCAATCTTTTTGTGTTTTATTGGCAGTACATGGTGTGCATTGATTATAGACTGTCATCTGTTTAATTAGGTTACTCATGTGTTAAACCTAATTGTGTCTGTGTAAAAAAAGCCCCCAATAAACAAAAACAAAAAAACAAAAATCTAAAACAAAACAAAAAACAACCAAAAAAAAAGCAAACCCCTCCCAAACCAAACAAAAAATAAACAATAAAAAGAAAACAAACAAACAAAAAAACAAACCCAAACGCACAAGAACTGAGGGCTCTTTTTATTTTTCTTACTGTTTACCAAAGAATCTGTCAGCATCTGTTAAATTTGAACATTAACACGAGTGTTGAACCGGAACTGTAAAGGCATACCTCTCCATACCCCTGTTAGGAGAGCAGAGAAATCTTTGCTTGAGAATGCCAAGAAATCCGAAGATACTCATGGTTTGAAAGAAACATTCTTGGAAACAGACACATGAGTGACTACTGCAGTTGACTCAGACGGTAGACAAGGAAGCCCATGAATCACAGTATTTAAATAGGTTGGGTCTAAGTTTCCCTGTCTCTCACACAGTTGTCTTGATTGACAGCTAATTACTTTGAGATAAGTGAGTGAATAAAAATTAAGTAAACTCAGTGACTTTGGGTCCAGCATATTTCTGATCAGTTGTCTTCCACATTTTTAATTACAGAATCCCCTTCACCTGCAGATGAGTTTAGAAAACTCACCAAGTTCTGATGCTGATGTCACTTTCTCAATCCTTGCAATGAACAATTGGTATAATTTCAGCCTGGTGCTATGCCAGGAAGAGTGGAACATCACGGATTTTCTCTTCCTCACACAACAGAGCTCCAAGTTCCACCTGGAATCCATTATAAACATCACAGCAAACCTCACTTCAGCCAGCAACCTGCTGAACTACTTACAGTTTTACCTGGAGAGCATCAAAGACACAACATCTACCATGGTGATGTTTGGATGTGACATGGAAAAAACACAAAGGATTTTTGAAATAACTACCCAGTTTGGTGTGATGCCTCCAGAACTTCACTGGATTATTGGGGATTCACAGAATGTGGAAGAACTCAGGACAGAAGGTTTGCCACTTGGTCTCATCGCTCATGGCAAGACAACACAGTCAGTCTTTGAGCATTATGTACAGGATGCAATGGAGCTGGTAGCAAGAGCTGTAGCAGCAGCCAGCATGATTCAACCTGAACTGGCTCTTATTCCAAGTACAATGAACTGCATGGACACAGATGAAAGGAATATCACTTCAGGGCAGTATTTGTCAAAGTAAGTTTTTCATTTTTTTCTTTACTTGTAGATAATGTCTATGGTATAAAAGAAAAACAGTTTTTCTGCTCCTCCCTACCATTTTCAGTGGCTTAGCTATTACACTGTTAGCCCTCCCTCACACACATTATTTCAGTATTTCTTCCTGCTTCATTACATCTGGGCAAATAATGAAACAACTTGGCCACAGAAGGGAATTAAGCCAGTCATAGAAGAAGACACTGTTCCACAGAAGTAGAGATCACATAGTAAACATAGGCTGGGTTATAGAACCTGAAAGTATCTTGTATTTATGTTTATGCAAATAAAAGGAAAAAGCCATGGCTGGTGTCAAATTCTCTGAGGTTTTGAGATACCTGAGAGGATACAAAACACAATAAGAATATTTGTTCTACCAAAGCAATCACAGAGTATAAAAGCAGATGTGTAGCCCGTGCTAGTATCCTTTCCATGGAAAAGAAACAAAAAAGATGCACCTTGGTCACCTAAGGGATCACTGCTCCTCATGAGAGCACTCAAAACTGCAAAGGGCTCTCTCTATCGCTTGGCTTGGGAGGCTCCTCTTTCAGCTTCTGCTACAACTATTCTCATAGACCACTGCATGTCATTATACTGAAGTTAATCCCAAAACTGCTTGGGGATTCACATCTAGAAACATTATGTGGTTTAACATAAGAGAGGGAAAATTGCATGTTTTTTTTTAAAACAAACAAAAAGGTCTTTGCCAAGTGTGTGAATTCATCAGCTAGTTTACATTCAGTGACTGTTGTATGTTTTCTCTGCATTGCACCTGGCTTTCAGTCTACAGGTTTTGCTGGATGGAGTTAGAACAAAAGTTCTTGAAGATTTTTCTGTGTCTGCACCATTTTTTACATTATAACTGAGATGTGTCTTCACAATAATGTGGTAACAGCACTGCTCAAAACACAACCTTCTGAGTCCCTAACAATTCCTTAGTCAGCATTCATCCATAACTTAGGGGTCAAAAACTCTCAAAGAGTTTTCAGAGAGTGAAACAAGGCTTGGCAATAAATACTGCACTGGCTTGCAATATCCCCACTGACTTGTGATATTAATTTTGTCTCATTATTGTGGGTATTTTAAGTAGATCACACCTAAGTTCCTGAAAAGTAAAACCCAGCAAGAGACTTCTTATGACAACAATTCTGAGGGCAGTAGTTTTATGAACAGACTTTTTGAGGATTAAAGGACAAAGATAAAGAAAATCAGAATTAAAGCTCTTGAAGGTATTATAGAATCATAGAATAGTTAGGGTTGGAAAGGACCTTAAGATCATCAAGTTCCAACCCCACTGCCATGGGCAGAGGCACCTCACATTAAACCATGTCACCCAAAGCTCTGTCCAATCTGGCCTTGAACACCACGAGAGACGGAGCATTCACAGCTTCCCTGGGCAACCCATTCCAGTGCCTCACCACCCTCACAGTAAAGAACTTCTTCCTTATATCCAATCTATACTTCTCCTGTTTAAGTTTTAACCTGTTACCCCTTGTCCTGTCACGACAGTCCCTAATGAAGAGTCCCTCCCCAGCATCCCTATAGCCCCCCTTCAGATACTGGAAGGATGCTATGAGGTCTCCACGCAGCCTTCTCTTCTCCAGGCTGAACAGCTGCAACTTTCTTCATACGGGAGGTGCTCCAGTCCCCTGATCATCCTCGTGGCCCTCCTCTGGACTTGTTCCAACGGTTCCATGTCCTTTTTATGCTGAGGACACCAGAACTGCACACAATACTGCAGGTGAGGTCTCACGAGAGTAGAGTAGAGGGGCAGGATCACCTCCTTCGACCTGCTGGTCACGCTCCTTTTGATGCAGCCCAGGACACAGTTGGCTTTCTGGGCTGCGAGCGCACACTGCCAGCTCATGTTCATTTTCTCATATACCAACAGCTCCCTGTTGCTCCTGGATGCTGAGCTGCCCCCCACTCAGGTGTTGAAGGCATCCTTTCTTGAGCTACTCACCTCAGCAATTGCAATTCCTGCAAAATATTTCTTCAGCATTGCTTTCTACAGAAAACTATTAGCTCTCTCATGAAAAATAACTGCTGTAACTTTAGTTGTATTTTGGGAGACAATATGCAGTTTCACATCTATGAAATTTCCTATCCCATCATCTCAGTAAAGGTATTGTGGAAAGAAAAAAAGGATCATATGCCTAGCCTTTCTTTCCCTAGACACCTGCATGTGGACCCTATTAAAGACAAAATAACAAGTTAGATAAACCTCTGTCCTAAATCACTGCAGCTGTTTTTATAGTGCATGAGTGAAATAGATACCTGATGGCCTATACTGATGTTAGCAGTATAACTATTAACTGTGAGTGGTACCAGTAATTTCTCAGGTGTGAAGCACCATTGAGTGACTTAACTGTGACCAACCTTGTTCATTGCACAAGCGCTTTAAGGCAAGTGGTGTGCTTCCAAAGCTGGTGTTTAACTGAATGTTTACTAATGTGGGTGTTTTTCTGCCCAAGTGAACCCATCTGTCTTGATACATAGTCTTGGAGATGCCGTAGGCAGGCATGGAGAAGACAGTGACGCAGACCTTCACCTACTGCAGGGTGTAGTTAAGCTGGCACAGCTGACACCTGAGCTTTCATTTCCGACACTGCACTCAGACATTGGCTGTGCAGACATTTAAATGCCACCCAGGAGCAGACTAATGATTATGAACAAGACTAAGATCTGCTCCATGGCAAAGTATGCTTTTATCTATGTAGACATGGATATGCACATGCAAACCTCTGAAGATTATGCTATTGTAAGTTTCTATCTGTCATTTCTCTTACAGTGAGATCTATTCCCTGATCTGTTCCTGCCTGCTCATGGGAGGAACATCCTTGTTGATGGAACAAGGCATTAAAATTTCAGAGCCTCATCTTGTCTTACAGTTTTAATTAGTCTTACAGCTTTAGCTGATTTTACAGCTTCTTGAGTAATTTCAGTAGCTTGTTATTTATTTGCCCATTCTAGTTCTTGCCTCCAGTAAACTTTCCAAGAAAAATGTGTAATGGCCAAGCCATCAAGCTTGAAAGAAAAAGAAATAATTTCCTTAAATCATTCTTAAAGGTGCTACAAAAAGATCGATGCTGCAAAAAGTACTGCTGAAGCTGTAATAAGCAGTTCTTATAACAAAACACATGAAAATCAAATAAATCTGAAATGAGGAAATGACAGACTTTGGACTCATTGTCAAACTAAAGTGAGGCTGGTAAAGCTTTGATACAGCTATCACAGCCTATCGGTGTGATCATCAGCTCACACATATTGACATAGCATCAAGGAAGTTCATTCAGCTGTCAGACTTGAGGATCTAGCCCTTCATATTCTGAAATTTATACACATCATATTTCCATACAAATCTGTCACTAGCCCTATAGAAAAGATACTGCTCAGGTATTGGCGAAGTGTCTATGCAGTACTCAGCACTTGCAGTTCCCAAAGATTTACACTGGAGATTGCTGGCTTAAATAATGTAGTCAGATAGTTATACCTGTTTCCTAAAATTACTGAGTAAGAGAGTTTTTACATGAAGTCCCTGGCACGAGTTTCACTAGCACTGCATAAAGCATATGCAAATTATTACAACCATAGCCAATCATGTATAAAACAAAGTGTTCTTAAAATGTATCTCCCACATGGTTCCCCTCATTTATTTTGATTCATGTCCTGAAACTACCAAAACATGCAAATCAGCTGCAGAAGTAAGCAACTAACTCCATGAGGTGGCCAAGTCACACATTTAAATGCTACTAAATCTCTGATGAATATATCAAATAAATAAATCTCAAATATTTATTTGGTTTTCATCTGCTTTGTTGTAAAATCTGCTTATTACAGCTTCAGCAGTACTACCATACTCTAGCAGCGATCTCTTTGTAGTACCTTTAACACTTCTAACGCAATTCAACCACAGGACATGTACAGAGGGCTTGGTTCTCATGGGCACACATTTCTACAGCGAAAGTCAGAGAACACAGTGCATGAATTTCACTGGTTTCATTCTACTTAGGGAAAATAAATGTATTATTCCATAGCTTCATCTACTCCCAAAGCACCTGGTCTGCAGCATTCTGATATGCAAGTTGTGCTGTGGCAGTAACATGGGGACAAATCCATCAGAGCATAGCTAGCTTATTCCATCTGAGGATTTGTCTCCCTCAATTTTGTCATTTTGTGAATTGTTAATGCTATTTTCGACACTTCTTTGTTTTTTCCACACAATTCTTTCAAAATTTTACATTCAGACTCATCTACAGTGGTTTTACTATTACTGTCATAGTTCAGCATGTAAGCCTAGCAAGGCTTCTAAGAAAGAAGTTGCAGAATTTTTTACAAAGACTGAGGAGAAGATACGAAAACCATATAAGTTTATGAGCACAAAAACCTTTCTTTAGTGCTTAAGATTGCATTCTATAAACTTTGCCTTGATAGTGTTTACAGGCACAGACATGCAAGTAGACCGTCAAAAATGAAACACAGGGTAGGAGGAAGGGATTAGTCAAACAGTGGCAGACACCACTGGTTAATCAAGTTATGGTATCATTTAACTACCGCTAGACTAAGTGGCAAAGGATTTTAAACCATATGTATGTGGCTGACCTGAACTCAGCCTACTCAAAATAGACTGCCTCGGAAAAAATCTGAAGCCATGTCAGAGAAGGCTGTCACACGCACAACCACACTCAAAACTACATTATTTGGTTTACCCTTTGCTCAGGACAGAAACTGATATGATTTTGAAACATACATGGTCCAGAGTTTTAACCACTGGAACTCCATCAAAACTCATCAAACAGAAGGATAGACACAAGGCAGAAGTATGCATGCACATACACTTGCTGCAGATTTATGCTTTTCAAATCAATTTAAGGTTATTTTTTATCTGCTTTAACTATCGGTAAACCACACTGCTTAATGTTTATATCTTGCTTATTGAAGCTGGAATGACAGCTATAGTCTTTATACTTCTTTCAATACTTGCTTTCATCCAATTCCCAGAACTAATGTGAGGTGTTACATTCTACTGTGACAGCTAAATAGTTTGTCTTCTGAATGCCTCTTTCTGAAACATGTGTGCTTGACTTACTTTACACCATATTAGCAGCAATTCAACTAAGTTGCTTTTTATGGAATCGCCATACTAAGACTTACATAGTCCCTGCAAAATGCATAGCAGCATTCTTATTAACGGAATACAGTTCAGATGGTCATGATGTTTACACTAAAATGGATTTTCTCCTTCCAGCTCAGCTCCTTGCTCCTTTATTCATGTTGTTTTAGCCTCTTTGATAATGACTTAACCAGAAGCTGAATTACACTTAAGGGAAAGACAATTAGTAGCTAACACTGCCACCCAATACAGAGGAAATACATAACTTTATTGTGAATATCTGGAAAAGTAAAAGCCCAAAAATCTCAGTACAAAATGTGCAGTGCAAAGCAGGGACATTTCATGAGACCTACACTTTTAAGAACCCTACTTTTGCACGTTTTTAAAAAGTTTTGGTTTGGGTTTTTTTTTAGGTTGTGGTTTTTTGGGTTTTTTTTTTTTTTTTTTGGAAAGAATTAATCCTGACTATCCTAGGGCAACCATCTTTCACTGAGTCCCTTTCTTCATTCTGAAGTGGCTAACAGTGATTTACCAATGCCAAATTTGCATTTTCAAATCCAGATTTGTTCACTTCAGAGTGCTTGAAAGCTGTTGACAGCACTTCAGTAGCCTCTCTTATGTAAGCTGTATCTTACTGAAATTACAGGATTTTTCTTGGAAGGACATTTTGTACATAATTTCCACTCTTCCATTTTCATACGTATTTTTATCTAGGAAACTGACTACAGATCTAGGGAGTTCAGCTGCTTAGAACTAACCTATGTTTCATTAATTTGTGAGGCAAAGGTAACTGAAAAAAATGGTGTTTTCTCACTGATTTTTCCTTGTAAGTAAAAAGAATATCTCTCCTGAAGAGTTTTCATTTGCATTAGATAATGTAGGAGAGCATATCCAAGTACTTTGGTCAGAAAGTAAGTGGTTTGTTCATCATGCCGTAGGAAAGCTATTAATGATCCAGGTGTTCCAACAACATGCACAATCTATTCTCTTAAACATAAATTCATGGCGACTTAAGTTAGCATGATGGCTTCAGTTGTCTGCTTCTTATTACTCTGCTGTCTCCCTCGAACAGGTTTTTAGCCAACACAACTTTTGACGGTCTCAGTGGCCACATTAAGGTGAAAGGCTCCTCCATTGTCAGCTCAGAAAACAACTTCTTCATCTGGAATCTGCAGCATGACCCTGTTGGGAACCCAATGTGGACTCGTCTGGGAAGCTGGCAAGAAGGAAAGATAATAATGGACTATGGGATATGGCCAGAACAGGCCCAGAGGCATAAAAATCACATGCAACATCCCACCCGGCTGCACCTCAGAGTGGTGACTCTCATTGAGCATCCATTTGTCTTTACAAGAGATGTAGATGATGAAGGTCTTTGCCCAGCAGGGCAGCTGTGCCTGGATCCTTTGACCAATGATTCAGCTGTGCTGGATAACCTGTTTGAAATACTTCGAGGAGGGAATGACACGATTCCCATTGAGTTGAAGAAGTGCTGCTATGGCTACTGCATTGACCTGCTGGAGAAGCTAGCTGAGGATATGAATTTTGATTTTGACTTGTACATTGTCGGTGATGGAAAATACGGAGCCTGGAAGAATGGCCACTGGACAGGGCTGGTGGGAGACCTTCTTGCTGGCACAGCTCACATGGCAGTGACATCATTTAGCATTAACACTGCCCGCAGCCAAGTGATTGATTTCACCAGCCCTTTCTTTTCTACCAGCTTGGGCATCTTGGTGAGGACCAAAGACACAGCAGCTCCTATTGGAGCTTTTATGTGGCCACTTCACTGGACTATGTGGCTGGGGATATTTGTTGCTTTGCACATCACAGCGATATTCCTCACCTTATATGAGTGGAAAAGTCCTTTTGGGATGACCCCGAAGGGAAGGAACAGGAACAAAGTCTTCTCTTTCTCCTCTGCTCTGAATGTCTGCTATGCAATCCTGTTTGGAAGAACAGCTGCCATCAAACCCCCCAAGTGCTGGACTGGAAGGTTTTTAATGAATCTCTGGGCTATTTTCTGTCTGTTTTGTTTGTCCACATACACAGCAAACCTGGCTGCTGTCATGGTAGGAGAGAAGATCTATGAAGAGCTGTCTGGAATACATGACCCAAAGGTAAAGCATGCCTGTTGTTATTAACTCAGACTTTTCTTCTTCCCTGTCAAAATTCACTGCTGCATAATTTATAGTTTCTAATAAAATCAAAAAGTAATCTGTGTGTACAACAGCAGTGGTACTACAATTAGTTACTACCTGACAGCATTACAGTAGGAAAATTCAGTGAGAGAGGATTTTTAAACATTAATAGAAGTGGACTGGGTGGATGTCAAAGATTAAGGGTGAAGGGGAAGTTGAAAGATTTTGGTGTTGCTCAATGCAGAAAAGTGGCTTCTACATACAGATTAAGAGTTTGATTTCAGTTCTGAGTCCCTTTGGCTGTTGCTGTTTTCATCAGTTGGATGATTTGAGTCATCCTGAGATCTACTCAAACAAAACAATCACACTGGATGGAGAGAAAACCACTGATGTTCTAGGTAGGATTTTGCAGTAATTTCACAGGCTGTAATGGTTCTTACAAAGGTGTTACTGACAAAATTAGCCATGAATGCTAAATCAGATGGAACAGAACTGAAATCTTTTGAAAAACCCTACCTTCTCCATCAAAACAGTAGAATTCATTTTACAAGTAGTCAGACATTTGATTTGCAATGTTGTTTCTGCTGAGGAACTGTCATGGGAGGAAATGAATTATTTTGTATACAACCCATCTGCAAATAGCTCAAACTTCCTAGTACTTTGTGGTAAGGCAAGGAAAAAATGCAGAAGCAGGACTGCCTCTACCTACACTCTCCTGAACTCCCAAGAGGGAATGAAGGAATCTTCAGCTGGAATTCAAGTCTGGTCATTTGTAAGACATTTCTGATTTTATTTGCTGCTAAGTAATGATCATGAAAACACCCATGCAGAAGGGTTTGTTTAGAGAAGGCAGGGCACATGAGAAGGCATCCTGTTCACCTAAAAGTCATTGTAGGGGAGAGGGTGGCAACAGCAAATTTCCTTTGTTTGGCACTTTCTCCAGTGAAGGTCTGTTTGTATTGTCCGCAGTTTTATACTTATGACCTTGGTACAAAGCTTTGAAACCATTCATCATTAGTTTGTCACAGGTGAACTGAATCGATACAACATTGTGCCACTGGAAAAGGTAACTTTAAGAACTCAAGAACTGAACATTTACTTTGCTTTCATAAACTGTGTATTTAAGGGTTACATATGTCTTTCCAGACAGGAAAGGCTAAGCTCCATCTGTTACATTAGTAAAGCCTTGCATTCAGACTAATGACCATACGGTTCTGACTTTGTGAGTACAGCTTCTGGTTTATTTCCTCCAACTTTATCTAGATAGCTGCTACCAAATATATTTTAAACAAAGAACAATACTCTTTGTTGTTGTCTTGAGGCACTCTAAAATTGATTTATGGGTTAAAGCAAATTGATATTAATAATCTGACCTTCTCACAGAAAAAAAATAGCATAAATACTACATCAATAATTTCATCAGTTTAAGGCACAATTTAAGTTCAAAAATCATGTATTTGTTTTATTCAGAGCATTCTGAATAAGCAAATGATATTCTTTGTCTGAATTTCCACAGCTCCAGGCATATCTGTTATAGTCTTTATTGTGTGAGACATAGCATTGGCTTTAAAATTAGGTTAGTCCTCTACTCTTTGCATCACCTAATTCATCAAATCAAATTACATCAGATTACATCCTATTTTTCTGCATCATTATTGTGAACACACATGAAGTTCCTAAAACAGGTATTGGAAAATCTCTGCAACTGCAACAAAATCATTATTCTAAAGCTGTACTGTAAAGCTTGGCTATTGAGTTATAAAATTGAGCGCAGAGTATTGAGCATATGAGGTGCTGAAAACACAGGTCTTAAGCACTGTGAGCAAAAGCACTGATGGTTCACAGTTAATAATGTCGGTGATGGCATTAAATCAGTTTAAGAAACGTTTGTGGCACAACAGTTGCAAAGGTACATGCACCACTTTTTAGTTAGTTACTTAAACCATTTTTTAATGTGATTTAAAGATTGGGGTTTTTCCCCCAGACCTGCTTACCTCTTTCTTTTCAGTGGTGGAGACTCATTTCAAAAAGAAGGCAGCAGGATGCAGAAGTAATCCTTTTAATGTTAATGTACTTTTAAACATTCTCCTGCTGCTCTCAGTATACATATGCCCTTCTACTATGCTTTTGAAATGTATTTAAAAAATAACGACCAAAATAGAGGGGCAACCTTCCAGGGTGATGTAAGACATATAATTTCTTTGGGCTGTCAGCAACAGACAGCAAATCCCATCTGAGATTGCAAACAGTCAGGAAGGTAGGCAAGTTGGGAAAAATTTAAAGGTTTTTTTCAAGATTAGAAACCTGGTATCTAAAGTCAGTATCGCCAGGAATATCTATGTTCTCTCTTCTGGTTAAAAAAAGACAGGGTTAGATACTGTCTGAATAAATAGCATCTGACTTTCTGCAAAAATTCATGTTACAACAGTGATATTTAATTGATCAAGCAGTACAGTGTTTTAGCTGTTACTCATTGCAGCTCAGCAAAGGGAGCATGGCTCTCCCTTGTTGCTGAAGTCTCAATATCACAACATTTTCATCAGAAAAATACTGCAAACCAGCAGCCTGCCTTTGGGCTGGTCTGATCATTTGTCCTACCCACCTGTAGTGGCCTGGAGACAGCTGGCTTTATGCCTGACATCTCCTAAACCTGTCTATCACCTTGTTTATTGTAGAGCTCCTCAGCGCCTTGGTGATTACGTTATACTCAGCTATACCTGAAAAAGCCATGACCCAGTTTTTATCCTCCACTGGGACCAATGCACATTTCCACATTGGCAAGGTTAGGTTGCTGTAGGTATCTCCTTAAACAGATCTGGTATTAGAGGAGCACGTAGGGATGCAAATAGGGACAGGCAAGTCTAGGCAGCTGGCCACTGTTGGATTTTTCCTGATTCATAGGATGTGGTGGCATTACAGATCTACAACAGCAAGTGGAGTATGCAACCTCACAGGGATGGGTGAGCAGAAAAGGGGCACATTGATAAGCAAAGGGTTCTGGATACAAAAAAAGAGACAATCTGTTACCATTCTGTTTCAGAAAACTGGCTGGTTTTACTTTTTGCCAGTCTTTTGACAAATCCAGAAATCCGGATACTTTATGTTTCATTTTCCACTATGGTTTCCATAAAAAGGTACTATACGCATGTGAGTAACCTGGGTTTCAGTGGCACAGATAGGGAAAAGAAGAAATTATCTGGAAGTAAACAGCAATGTCAGTGACTTTCTTTGCCCAGTGAGCCTGCAACTAAGGTCCATATCCAATAAAACTCTTCATTATCAAATCAAATAATAGGGTTTTGTATGACAGATCTCCCCAGGGAATGGGTTTTTTTAGTAGCAAGAGGACTTGAAGCAGGGACTGTGCTTTCAGGCTTTTAATGAAAGAGCACATGTTGGGAGATATACTATAAAGTCAGGAGTGTGTTGAGCAGTTCAGATTATCTGGGGCAAAATGACTGTGGAAGCCCAGAGGAGAGAAGAAACTTTTCAAGCATGCCAACAAGAAAGCATACAACAGCAGAAACGAGGAGCTGGACAGATTTTCTGTATAGCGGTCCAATGCCTGGTCTTTCTTTCTGCTAAAAGTGTCATTCTTTCAACAATATAATGAGCTTTTCAGATGCTGTCCCACCATTGTCACTTCTTTGACAGCTGTCAGCTTTTCTTTGCCTTGTTTAGGATACACTTGAGAAGCTGTGTCTGTTAATTTGCTGTGGTTATTTTTTTGCTTCTCTGGGGTCACTTTACCTTCAAAACAGCTTTTGATAATAGCAAAACTTCTTTCCACATTGTATTTTGACCAAAAATACCTAACCCATTGAGATTCATTTAACAAAAAGGGCTAAACCTGTGAATCCCACCATGAGCAATTTCACTGTGCTATCTCACTTCATTTTACATATCTGCAGTGGAGACATTCTATATGATTTACTAAGTCTACTATGCTTTTATAGTTGTTTGGGAGAGGTAAGCACATTGGGCTGCTGTTGAAGACACTTAACTTCAGGACAAGATCACCTAAACCATCCCCTGAAAGTGCCTACTTCTCTCCATCATGCATGGTAGTGTATTAGCATGGCCAGCATTGATGTCTGACAAATACTGTAGATGCCCCAAGGAATACACTGCAGACATCTACAATTATTCTGACAAGCACCATCCCGCAACAGCCTTGCTGTGCATTTCAACAGCCTTGGTGTGCTTCAGGATTAGTCCTTAGAAATCTCTGCTTCTCTTCTAATCCATTGTCTGAACAATTGCCCTTGAAAGCTGTCCCTCTTTTTATTACGGAAGTAAGCACTTGGAGTAATAATCCAGGCAAGATACTTCTGAGATTTTGTTACTCAGGAATTCAGTACGTACAGTCCACCTGATTTTTGTTTCTACATTTAAACTCTAAAATATGAGGGTGCAAGCTCTCATTTCTGATATATTAAAATCTCAGTTAATCTAGTGGCCTTATGGCCTTTACCATATCAGTTAAAGACTGTATTAAAACAGTCCAGAGATATCAATGGCAAGTAGCTGCATATGAGCTTTAGCAATACCAAATCATAGAAAAGGAAGGGTCCAGCCACTTTATAGGCATTTTTCATTACTAGACACGTGATTCAAATACTCCTGCATTTAATGATATTTTCCATGAAGTTCAGCAAGCTTTAAAGTGAGGCCATAACTGTTGTGTGTTTATTGATAAATTTTCTTCCTGAAAAAGGGAAGTCTTGTAAGAACTGCACTGAAGAAAAGGCTCTTAGAGACTGCTGTGGTCTTTCCCTGCAGAAATATAAGATGAATCATAAGAAGCGCCACTTGCACTTCTGTGCATTAAATATGTAATGAAATAGCATGCATTACTACTACTCATTTAAGTATGAGTTAAAGTTTGAAGTACACTTAAAACTACTCATTTAAGTATGCATTAAAGGCATTAAATTGTATAGCAAAAAAAAAAAAGTAACAAACTCAGCAGAATTAAC